AAAAAAAAAAAAAAAAAATCAATGGGTGGGATTAACAACAGTTTAGCCATAGATGAAAACAGAATTAGAGAGCAACAAAACAGGTCAAAAGAAAATATCCAAAATGTTAGCGCATTAGAGTTCTTTTAGGCCAAGGCACAGAGAGAGGAACTGAGGCAAAGCCCAGGACACTCCCAAAGTTCAGAAGATCAGGTGAGACCAAGGCAGCTAAAACTGCCAGGACAAAGTACCAGAAATGAAAGTTCTTCACATAGAGAACAAACACTCACAGAGAGAGATATACAGAGAACACTGCTTGAATATTAAAGGAGAGAACATATGAGTGAAGAAACTACCTGAGGCTGGAAAAAGAACCATCCAAAAGAATTAAAGGAAAGAGTATCTGGCAGACAAAAAGAGCCAGGAACATTGCCGGGTCCCTCTAGCCAGACTGGAAAAACTCAACTCACAGGGCATTGGTTATTTGAATATTCAGAAAGATCTTGCCTCAGTAGTGGGGAATAATTACCCTTAGAGCACTGCTCTAGACCCATCTAATAAATCATAAGAGCAGAACCTGAAAGGATCTATCTATTTCCAAGGAACCTAACTGTATTTCAGAACAAATCTGAAGAAAATTTAAAGGAATGCAAAAATATCCAGATTTATATCAGCAAAAATACTGGAGTAGGCAGCTCCAAAAGCACATTCCACCAAGGAAATATCAAAAAATCAAGCAGGAACTGTCAGAACCAATTTTGTTATGACTCTGGAAAAGAGAGTAAAAGGTTTACAGCAACCAAACACTAAATTAAGAAAAAGGCAACTTAAAAATGGTAGGAAAGCTTTGGACATTTCTATTTTCCCTTAACCCATGCCCACCCTAGGTTCAGCAGAAGTCTTAAAGACAGCACTCATTGAGTTTCCAGTGTGGAACCCTGGTTCTCCATTCCATAGGTTCAGAGAGTTAAGTACAGACACAGAAGATGTAAGATCCACAGTAAACTGTATAAACAAAAATAATAAGAATTCATTGTACGATTTATAACAAAGATAAATGCATGACAATAACTGCATATAGGCCAAAAACAGAGAAATGGAATTATATTATTGTGAGGACCCTGTACTATATGAGAAGTAGTATAATAATATCATTTGATGGTAATACTGAGAAAAAGATGTAAACTTTAAGCCCTAAGACAATGACTAACACAAAATTTATGGCTAATAACACAAGAAAATAGACAAGATGGAATCATAAACATCTCAAAAGAAGGCAGAAAAAGAGAAAAAGAGAACAAAAAACAAATGGAGCAAATAAAAAACAAGTATCAGGGCACCTGGCTGGCTCAGTCAGTACAGCATGTGACTCTTGATCTTGGGGTTGTGCGTTCGAGCCCCACATCGGGTGTAGAGATTACTTAAAAAAATAAAATCTTCTAAAAAAAAATAAAAATAAAAATAAAGAACAAGTATCAAGATGATAGGTTTAAATCCAACCATATCATGGGGCGCCTGGGTGGCTCAGTCGTTAAGCGGCTGCCTTCGGCTCAGGTCATGATCCCAGAATCCTGGGATCGCGTCCCACATCGGGCTCCCTGCTCAGCGGGAAGCCTGCTTCTCCCTCTCCCACTCCCCCTGCTTGTGTTCCTGCTCTCGCTGTCTCTGTCAAATAAATAAATAAAATCTTTAATAAATAAATAAATAAATCTAACCATATCATTAATCACACTAAATGTAAATTAACTAACCACCCCAATTAAAAGACACAAATTGCTGGAGTGAAGATAAACAAATGGCCAATAAGCACATGAAAAGATGCTCAACATCACTAGTCATTACAGAAATGAAAATCAAAAATAAAATGAAATATCACTTCATATTCACTAGGATGACTAAAACCAAAAAGACAAACATTATCAAGTATTGATATAGATGGGATATAGAAAAATAGGACACCTAATGCACTACAAGCTGAAACATAAAATGGTACCTCCACTTTGGAAAACAGACTGGCAATTTCTCAAAAGAATAAGAGAGTTAACACATGACCCAGGAATTATACTTCTAAGAATAATCCGAAGAACTAAAACATATTTCCACACACACACACAAAAATGTAAACAAATGTTCATAGCAGTACCATTTGTTCATACCAGTATTATTCAAAATGGCCAAATGAAAACAACCCAAATATCCATCAACTGTTGAATGGTTAAGGAAAACATGGTGTATCGATACACTGGAATATTTTGGCAATTAAAACAAATGAATTACTTAGACATGTTGCAACATGGACAAATCTGGAAAATAGTACACTAAGTTAAAGAACCCAGTCACAAAAGACCACATATTGTATGATTCTAGTTATATGGAATGTCCAGGATAGGACAAATGGACATAGGTTAATAGTTGCCAGGGTAGAAGTATTCGAGGGAAATAGGAAGTGAATACTAATAATGGTGACAGTACGTCTTTTTAGCTTGATGAAAATGTTCTAAAACTGACTGTGATGATGGTTGCACAAGTCTTTGAATATTTTTAAAAACACTAAATTGTATACTTTAAATCGATCAATTGTATGATATGTAAATAAAGCTGTTCTATAAAAATTAACAATAAGAAAAATAACTCAATTTTTTTAATGGGAAAAAGATTTTTGAACACAGACATCACCAAAGAAAATATAAGAACTGCAAATAACCATATGAAAAAGATCTCAAATTTACTACTCATTAACAAAATAAAAATTAAAAGCAGACAGATACCACTCCGCACCTATCAGAATGGCAAAAACTAAAAAGAGTGACCATACCAAGTGCTGAAGAGGATGTAGAGCAACTGAAACTCTCATATGCTGCTGATGGGAATGTAAAATGTTATAACCGCTTTAAAAAACAGTTTGTCAGCTCCTTAAAGAATTAAACATGCACTTATCATTATAAACTAGCCGTTTCACGCCTAAATATTTATCCAAGACCAAAAAAGACTATGATTATAGAAAATATGTACTTAAATGTTAACAGCAGCTTACTCTGCAACACCTAAAAATATAAAGTCTATCTACAGGTAAATAGATAAACTGCTATATCCATACAAAGGAAAAACAGTGAACAAAAAAAAGGAATAAACTATTGATGCATGTAACAACAAAAATAATCTCAAACTATTTATACTCGTGGAAATAAGCAAGACAAAAATAGTGTCTGTATATACTATATACATATTTGAGTGTCTAGACACACATACATACATACACATATAT